ATTGATTAGCAAATTAGCTAATTAATAAGCAAATTAGTAGATTAGCAGGATTAGCAAGATTAGCAAAGAAACAGTTATCTTTTCTACCTTTCTTACCTTTTTTATCTTTCTTACCTTTTCTACCTTTCTTATCTTTTCTACCTTTCTTACCTTTTCTACCTTTCTTACCTTTTCTACCTTTTCTACTGTTTTTATCTTTTCTACCTTTTCTACCTTTTCTACTGTTTCTTATTATTTTAAAAGATATATAAACCCTGGCTTTTCTCTCTTTCTGCCAGTTAGTTCAAATTAGACCCAGATATCTCTTTAGTTATAGAATTCCTCCTTGTAATTAAAGTTCTATAAACAAGTAAATAAAATATATCTTTCTTTAACTATATACCTTCTTCGAACTGCCCTAGTGAAGTTATATTTCACTTCCACACCACTATATATTCTGTAGTCATATGCTTTGTTATTTGTGCTATATTAAGAAGGCTACAGTTTACTTGTAACAATACATTAGCATTGTTCAGGTACGAAAAGGAATTTGCTACAAAATTTTATGAAATTACTATATTAGTATTTTTAGATGACAAACATAGGTGTAAAGTTGGAGAACTCAGATATCCAGTTGCCACTATAGAAAGAGGAAAGCAGATTATTATTAGTAAAGAGACTATATTTATAGTTGATAATCATGACTATATAAAAACTGAAATTATACTAAATATTATGATAATATGTGAGTTTTTGAAGTCTATTAATAAAAATTTTATGTGGAGAAAGTTCATATTGGATTAAAGGACACTATTTTTCAATCTTCTTTATCAATCTAACATGCAATAGAACTATATAATATTTTGCTTTTATATCTTTATACAGATAGTAGTCCTAATCAATGTTGTATATATACAAGTGTACAATTATTATATATTTGGCTTTAGATCTTGATTATTTCATTACTGTAAGAACACCACCCAACATTTTTAGAAAAATCCTATAGAATATATAATATTAATTTTAAATCTTGGTCTTTAATATATTGATTTAATGTGAAATAAAATAGATAATAGTTTAGAAAATTAATAGGCAAAGTAAATACAATAAAAGAAATCTGACATATTGCAAAAAGTAATTCTACTTTAAAAGATGTATTTATTGAAAGTGTTCAGCAACTAATTTACCTAATACGTAGCATTTTTGAATACTAATTGTTAAAAGAAATACCTTTTCAAGCATTTAATATAGCAACAGAAAATGAGATTATAGAATTATAGGAAAATATTCACCTAATTAATAAAGATATATCTCAGCAAGATTACACTATAGAAAGTATAAGCAAAAGAGTAAGTAAAAATAGTGATATATCTCTTAAATATACTATTATTATTTTTTAAATATAATTTTTTTCTTTACAATTTCAAAAAAGTATACTTAAGGAGATATTACTATATAATAATGATATAATATAATTAATAACAATACTTGTCCTTTTGCAGCCATGATTAAAGGAATTTGTAGACCACTATTGTAAAATGAAGCATTATTTTTTTATTATCAAAAAATGTAGAAATGAAACATGTATGATTTGTCTATCATCTTGAAGTTCTTAGGAGGAATTTAAACAATTTTATTGTATTTTTGATCCAATTTCTAGTGAAGGTCTTTATTACAAATTATTTGAAGAACTTTATGATATATCTACAACTAAAGGTTATAAACTTTTGCTCAAAAATATTAAATTGCGAACTACCAAGTCAGGTAAAGCAAAAGTTACTATTGTAGCAAAATATACTATACTATTTAATTAGTGCTTCTAGATCTGGTCTGGGTCTGGTCTGTCTGATTCTAGTTCAGAATTAAACCAGACACAGACTTTAAATTTTACTAATTTCAAACTTTAGACTAGACTTAGACTCAATTGTGAGTTCAGTCCAGGTCTGGTCCGAAGTTTGTAGACTAGTTTGAGTTTGAACATATTTATATATATTTTTTAGTACTAAACAAATTTACTTAGTATATAAAGTTAGAATTAATTAGTAAATTTTTGAGATTCATAAGATTTTATAGAATTTTGTTAATAAAATTTTACAAAATCTTTGATTTTCAAAAATTTACTAATTAATTTTAACTTAATATACTAACTAAATTTGTTCAGCACCTAAAAATATATTAAAAATTTTTTTAATAAAATTTTATAAAATCTTATAATTCTCAAAAATTTACTAATTAATTCTAACTTTATGCATTAAATAAATTTGTTTAGCACCTAAAAATATATCTAAATATATTCAAACTCAGACCAGTCTGCAAACTTTAGACCAGACCCGGACCAAACTCAGACTTGACTAAAAGTTTAAATACAGTACAGGACAGCATAAACCGACACCTCTTATATAAGATGGCCAAATTTTAAAAATATGCAGAGTCACGTGTTTATATATATCATCCAATAAACATGCATTATTAATTATATAGTACGTATCTATAGTTTTTAATTTATAAGATATATATACTATCGGTATATAATACATATACATTTATTAAAAGTTAAAAACTTTTAAAATTCGTTTTATGCATGCAATACGTACATATATACATAAAATCTTTATTGAAATTGTTATTATATCAATTTTACAATTACTGTGGCATTACTCCATTAATTCTTCGATGACTTTTATATTTACAAACAGCATAGTCAGCTGCTTCTCCTGTTAATCCATATCGATATGCATCCATCCATCGATAACTTAATCTAGCATATGCATGGATCCGTTCTACTAAAATTGAATCTAAAGCTTTTGGAACAATACGACGTAAGCCTGCTAATGAATAATTACAATGCTTTTATACATATTCTTTTGCGACACCCTAATACATCTCAATGTAATTAAGTTCAGGATGAAATTTCGGGTAAAAAATTACTTTGTGACCTCTTTTTTCTAATTCTTCTTGTATCAATCCTCGTTGCATCAAAAATTAGGTTGATTAAGAAGTATTTGACATGTGCAGCATTCTGTTCCTGTATGTTCACCCTTACAATCAGCTAATAGCCCTTCTTTCTATAACTCACGTTCTTATAAAACAACCTTTATCTCTTTAATTATAATAAATAAATATAAGTAATAATGTCATGGCTAAAGCTAGAAATAGCTAAAGCTGGAAATTAGAGATCTCAATTTAAAAATATAAACCCTAAATAAAATTAAATATTTTTTACCTTTTGCTTGACCCGTAACTCTTCTTTTTCATAATCGGAAGGAAAAACCATTTTTTGTTCATGACTATTCCACATTGTTGAACGCATTAATAGTTGATTACCAGGATACAGATTTATTTTCTTTGCATTTAATGCATCAAGTGCCATTGCTGTATGAATTGTTGCATTATTGAATGCCCATATCCCAATAGTTTCTGGATATGTACATTCAAATATAATTACAGCTTTACATATCTGATCTAATAGTTTATTACTATTCCAATACCCATTACGATTTGCGCCTAATGTTATAATTACTCAAGCCTCGTCTATATCATCCTTCAACCGACCAATATCCTCTGTCAAAAACTTACTAACATGTAAACCTGCACCTAAACCTTTCTTTCTTAGAAGTTGTTCATTATATGGTCCCCAAAAAGTATGCATTCTATCATATGCATGAAATATTGATTCATCATACATTATCAAAATATGGGGCTTTTGGTTTGAAAGTAATATAGGTAGTGTTTTTATTTTATACTCCTTATCCAGCCATTTTGGCATTAACAAATCAAATTCATCCATTAATTTTAAAAAGTTATTTCGATATATAATGACATTAGAACGTTCGTGTCCATCAATATAAATTCTCATATGATATCATTTATATATGAAGCCTAAGTAATGCATCCACCTTCGTACTGTTCTAATACTAATTGTTTGTAGTATAGTAAATCTAAGATCCGGGACCACTTTTTCTTCAAAATACTGCTTTACTAAATAAGGATTTGCTTGATCTGAGGTAATTTGCTATACGTATAGATATAGCTTCATCGTGAAGAAATAACTTAGATGGATGTTTCCTTTGAAAACTTTGAGGCAAAGGTTCATCTATTGATAATATTATAAAACAGAATTAATATTTTATATAAGATCTTTGAGAAAAATTTCACAGATTATAGATTATATAATAATAACCCTTTAAACATATAGCAGCCTATCTTCTTATATATCGAGTATAATATTTGCCTTTATTACAAACTGTTGTGACAGTTTCACTAGATTCTGTTTTATTTTTTCCATTTTGCAATAAATGCAAATACCAGATAACTAATTGAAAATGCACTAGTTCAACCTTTCTAGGCTTCTCATTTTTTATCATCATTTCAATTTTCATAATTGTGTTATCAATACTTTTCTGCTGATTAGTATCGATACAATGCTGCTGATTATTCTCAATACTTTGCTGCTGATTATTTTCTGTATCAATACAGTCTATATCTTGGTTGTCATCATCAATACAGTCTACATCTTGGTTATCATCATCACTACTTTTTAGATCGAATTTTTCATCTTTAGAAAAAAAATTTGTAATATTAATTGTTCCTGTGGCAGCTTGTCTGCTTTTAGCTCTTTTACGTCGACGTGTTCTTTCAGAATTTCCAATATAAATAAGTGGATGTTTTTTATTTATTATTTTTTTTTGGTTCATTTAGTTAATCATTTCTTCAAACACATTACTAACTGCTTCTGCTTTTTCTTCATCTATAAACGCATTTTCTTCAAGCACTTCATTGTCACTAATATCGCTATCACTTTCAATACTTTCAGCATTTTCTATATTTTGTAATATTTGGTGAGCGATTGATATATTTTTTTGCAACTTACGAACACATTTGCTTACTGGTGACATTTATTGCACAAGACACTACTTAGTGCAAGTGTTACTTTTGAAAGAGAGAACCGATTATTTTTTTAATCAGAATTTTTTCTTTTATTCACTTTGAATCTATTACGTATTTATTATATCATTTCGTATAGAATACCAATTTACAGTAAATACTGTATATGCAACGTTGAGATCAAATTTGCCATTACCCATTTACTAACAATTATGTGCTTTTAGATCTAATATATAAGAAATCTTTATAACCCAACAAAGTAATTCTATTATTTTCAAAAAAAATTTAGCTTTTGAAAATCAAAAAAAAAATAACAGTATTATAACAGAATTATATATACAGTACTGTATCAAATATCAATCCATACTCATACAGTAATTTGCATCATTACTTCTTATAACGATAGTTGGCATGGCTTCACATAACTTCACTAAGCTTTTGAAATGTATACCAGGAGTACATATGTAAGTATATATATTTATACATATTGTTCCTCCTTTTAATTTAGGGTTTTTTATTTTTGCATTGTACTATTCTCTAACCGGTTTTTATTCTTTATTATTATATTGTGACAGAGTGAAACCTGCGTCAAAAGTGGTTACATTATTGATGCATACTACTGCCTAATCCTAATTAATTGTAGATATACATCAAAAAGGTAACCGAATTTCACCCTTTTTGTATCGACACTGATAATAAAAATCAATTCAGGTTTCATCCTGTACTATTATACAGTATTTGTATTACAAACTTAAGAATTTCCTGTTGAATGCCATGATGGTTAAATATTGTAGTCTATTATCGAATATATTTTGTTTTACAGGTATCATTATATAGCAACATTTCTTTTTTTGATACCATATTGTCCAGGGTGAATTTATTGGCTGGGGTACTTGCAACTAGCCAATCAGAAATCAGTTCATGTCATGTGCACTGCTCTTGGCCAATCATATTTACCAGCCAAATTTTAGTTTTTATATAAAAATTAGATAACTTTAAAGTATTATAATGTTTAAATATACAAATATTTTAAATTTTTTATTCTAACCAAATGATAGTTATGCTTTAAAAAAATATTTTGGTTAGATTATTTTTTTAATAAAGCTAAAATTAAACAACTAGTTAATTTTTTTTAAAAGGCTAGTTTTGATGTTAATTTATGCTGTCCCATATTGTATAAAAGTCTGAGTCTGGTCTGAAAATTAAACTAGACTCAGATTTGACTAAAGTCTGGTTTGAGTCCAGTTTGTAGAAGCACTACATTTAGCTATTCTTCTATATATACAAAAAACATTAAAATCACTGTTACTTGTACAAAATATAAAAAATTACATTTGCTATTTAATGCAAAAAAATTATTAATAAAAGAATATGAGATGTTAAAGTCTTTTCTTGATACAATTTTATATATATATAAATATCATTTCATAATACTTATGATCTTGCATCCACTAGTTCAATCAATACTACTGATATAATTACTATTAATAATAGTAATGATCAACAAAGTAATGACCAGAAGAGTGATGATTAGCAAAGCAATGACTAACAAAGTGATTAACAAAATGATAACTAACAAAGTGATAATCAACAATGTGATAACCAACAAAGTGATAATCAAAGTAATAATCAACAACCTAAAACTCAACAACCTGACAATGCAAATGCTTAACCTAGTTATTCAAATATAGAAAGTACAAAAGTTAATGATAATAATAGTTATAATAATGAAAAGATTAATGAAAGGATCAATGAGATTGAAAATAGATCTGAAAAAAAGCTACAGTAAATTCATTATATAAACTGTTTCAATGAGCCTTTGTAAATCATTCTTGAAGTTGTGCGTCACTAATTGAAAAACTATATTACTTAGTAGGGATATTTCCTGTTATTTGTTACTTATATGGAAATCAAAAATGTATTAAAATTTTCAAAGGATAAGCAACCACTATGTGTTAGGTATATGGGAAACCCTTTGCCAAAAAAGCACTTTAAGTGGGTTTAGTGTGTGAATAAAAAAGAGAAACAGCATCAAACTCAATAGTATTACATAGCGTTAGATTGTTACTTATTTAAATCAAATATAGATATAACAATGAATAAAATACATTATACATATTTATATCATATGTGTAGCAGCTCGTCGGCTTTATTGATTAATCAGTTTTTATTATACTGAATATACAAGCCAATCGAGCTATTTTGCATCACTAATTATTTGTGCAAATGAATGATAATCGTGCATTTCTATTGGCTGTTAATTTGCTGTGGTATAAAAAAAAAATTCTGAGTTTAGTAATTTTTGACCCGGCCAGGATATGAAAACCAAGAAATTTTTTTTTATATGGCCTTACTTTGAAAAGATGGTTTTATTAAAACATCTTACTTTAATAGAATTAAAAAGTGCTAAATATTACGGGAGAAATTAAAAGCGAAGTAAAGTCTTTTTTTTATAATCGTTTGATATGTCCCGAAAATCTATATGACCTGCACTATGTTTGTACGTAAATCTATTGATTGTGTACACTATGATAGTAAATCATTTGGTATGAAACACCCCAATAGAATGTTCTAGATTCATATCAGGTGTTCGATTTCCATTTGGTTACACAAAAACGATCTACAACCGATTTTATATGAAATTCGAAATTATTACCCCTACCCTTAATCATGATCTTGATCCCGAGCGAAGATATCTCGACGAACTCTCCAAACTCGATAAACTTTTTATTTTGATTCTATGAATGCGTAGAATTAAATAAAAAATTTTATCGAGTTGGGATAGGTGTCATTGAGATATCTTCGCTCAAAGTTGTAAGAAATTTTTTAGATATTAACCGCAGCGAAATTTTTTGAAACTTTGATCGAAGATATCTCATCTCGGCAACCACCTATTCAAGCTTGATAAATTTTTTTATTTATTTTGATTCTACACATTCGTATAATCAAATAAAAAAATTATATTAAGTTTTGTGGGTGATTGTTAAAAAATTTTAAACTTCACAACAAATTGGAGATTGGAAATTAAATTGGAGGAATCTACGGTCATAATCTCGGAGTTTTTGCGCCAGGAGGACTTTTTTAAGATCGTAACACGTTACACGTGTGATTCATCTTGTGACCATGATTATATGCTACATATTACTTGCATTTTTAGACCGGCAAATGTAAAAATACAAAAAGTACTCATAAAGCCCTTTATTGCTATCATGTTTTGAACGAAAAAAATGAGGAAATCAATCATTTTTCAAAAATGGTTCGAAAGGCCTTTGAAAGATAATGATTTCACTGAGCTTGAATATTCTGTATATGAAAATATAGAAAAGATTGAAAAAGGTAGTCTTTAATTAGTTCATACTTTATGAACACAATTTATTAAGCTGTTATTTATGTCAAACCGTTATAAGATGGATCTGGTACTGTTTACTCGGCGGATTATAATGGGAAAAAGATCGCATTGAAAAGTTTTAACATTGACAAGGAGAATAAAGAAGCTACCAAAGAATTTATTAAAGAGGTGATGCATTATTTGGATGCATTATTCGTTATTTTTAAGCTTTTGCTTCCGTTATCTAGATCTAATAATATATATTATGTATAGCTTAAACAATTACATGCCATTAATTTTCATCCTAACATCATTCAACTTTACGGAATTACATGCGGTATTGTAACAATGTATATTATACGCCAAATTAATATTCTTTTAATAATATCTTTTGTAATGATCTAATAGATCCTACAACAAATAAACTTATGTTGGTCCTACAATTTGCCAATGGCGGGAACCTGCGGCAATATTTGAAAAATAAATGGCATGAGGACATTTTTAAAGTCTCATTCGATGAAATAATCCAAATCGCAAGACAAGTAACTAATGGGTTAGGATATTTGCATAAAAATAATGTAATTCACTGTAATTTGGTAAGTATTAATTTATTTATTGTCGCGGCTGATGCTGATGCTGAAAATTGAATCTATTTTAATAAGTATATTAAATTTTTTGAAGTGTATTTTTTGAGGGGGAGTTAGAATATTATTTATCGAATTTCGGCCCGAGTTAAGTTTAATTCGGGCCAAAATTCGAAATAACGTCTATGCCCGCTATTTCGAAAATTTACGGTAGGGCTAAAGTTATTACTGTAATAAAAGAATATATTGATCTTAGTAGGTTGAATAAAGTAGATACACCAAGTCTTAGCATTAGCCGATCTAAGCATCAGCCGTGACAGTTATCCTAATTAATTTCTATTTTCTGAAATAAATTAATTTTTAATAATTATTAAGCATCCAAACAATATCTTAATAAATGATGGTAAACTCCTGATTACGGATTTTGGACTATCAAGAAAAATAGATGATACTCATGACTCTTTAGCTTCGATTGTAAGAGGCATGCCAGCGTACGTTGATCCATATTTTTATTGCCATCCTGGGAAAAAGCCCGATGAAAAATCAGACATTTATAGCTTAGGTGTAATATTTTGGGAACTTACAAGTGGAGCACCTCCGTTTGCTAATGCTATTAATGGATTTGCCATATTTGCTAAAACATCGCAAGGTGATCGAGAACAACCAATTCCTGATACGCCACCAGATTTTGTTGTACTTTATAAAAAATGCTGGAATTTTGAGCCAAAAGAACGTCCGACAATAAGTAAAATTCTTGAGAAACTTGATTTAATATCAAAAAGAAAGACAATACAATTTATTGTGAATAGCAATAAAGAACTAACATCTGTCTTAGACGCAAAATCTATCTTAGATGCTGTCCTAGATACAGCAAACGGACCTACACCTGTCTTATATTCAACAGAATCAAATATTTCCCGTCATTCAAAATGGTTCGAAAAAATAAAAGACAGTATTGCCGAATATGGATTTTCTGCATTTGAAAACAAAAAAATAATTGGAAAAGGTAAGAATTCCTTAATTATTTGAATTCTTATTGGCACAATTAACGATTTATATTTCAAACGTTAAATACCAAGGTGCATTTGGTGTTGTTTAT